CGGGGGAGACGGCGAGGACACAGCCTTGCTGTGCCCCCCTCAGCGCGGCCGCGTAGTCACTGCTGGGTGCTGCCAGGCTCCTGGAGCTGCTGCACCCGGGAAGCAGCTCTGCGCAGCTTCCTCTCACTTTGCTCGCCATCCAGGAGCTCAGTGGGATCAGCATCCCCTAAATCACCACAAACAGCCCTGCGGATCCCTGTGCACCTGATCCAAGATACGCTGTCCGCTCCCAGCCCCATGCAGATACGGGACCTCATGTCCTCACCCCAATGGGGCCTCCTCTCTGCCCCTGCCCTGAGAGCTACCCGTGCCCGGGCTGGGGGACTGTGTCCGTGGCCCCTGTGGGTTGCACATCCACAGCCAGCACTCTGCAGGGCTCCGCGGGGAGCCGCCGCTGGAAAGAGCAGCGCGCGGCCTGCCCGGCACTGAAGTGGGTCACCCGCCCCCTGCGGAAGAGCCACCGCGTCCCTCAGCCGGGGCAGGGCTGGCGAGAGTCGGATGGCACCCCGGTGACATTACATTGCAAAACTTATGCTGATAATTAAAGATAATTTGTGGTTGCTTTAATAAATAGCTCTTTGTCCTCGTGCCATTTGCTTGGCTCTTCTTTCAGGTGGGGAAACAATGTTTTCATCTCAGGGCAGTCAAAATCTTGCCCCGAAATCCTGGGCATGGCACGAGGAAGCCCTCTTGCAGCAAGGTGCAGCTCCTGGATCTGCCCCGGGCTGCACCCCAGCCTGCAGCTGTCCCCTGCCCCATGAGCTGCGCCATCCTTCTAGTCCAGGGGCCTCCCGTTGGACCCAAGGCTCCTCTGGGGCCAGACCATAGAATCATCATAGAATGCTTAGGGTTGGAATGGACCTCTCGAGGTCATCTAGCCCAACCCCCTGCACATGCAGGGTCACCTACAGCACATGGCATAGGGCTGCGTCCAAGTGGGTTTTGAAGATCTCCAGAGAAGGAGACTCCATAACCCCTCTGGGCAGCCTGTTCCAGTGCTCTGTCACCCTGTTAAGAAATTTTTCCTTAAGTTCCTGTGGAACTTCTGGTGTTTCAGTTTGTGGCTGTTTCCTCTAGTCCTGTCAGTGGCCACCAGTGAAAAGAGGCCAGCACCATCCTCCTCACTGCCTCCCTTGAGGTACTTCTAGACACTGCTCAGGTCCCCTCTCAGCCTTCCCTTCTCCAAGCTGGACAGGTCCAGCTCCCTCAGCTTCTCCTCATAGCGCAGATGTTCCAGGTCCCTAATCACCCTCGTAGCCCTGCACTGGACTCTCTCCAGCAGCTCCACATCCGTCTTATCCTTACTGGGAAGGCTGCAGCAATGCTTCCCATGTGGGAATGAGCACACACAGACCCGTGCTCTGCTATGGCACTATCCTCTCTACTGGGACTCCCTCCCTGAGCGCCCTCCCCACGTGTAGAGCCCATCCAGGGCTCTGCACAGGTCCCGGTGGCGCAGAGCGAGGCTGAGGGTCTGCCAAGAGAGCCGCAGCGGGAGAGCAGCTCCTGCCTGTATCCTGGCCGGACGCCAGAGGTGTCTCCACATCTGCTCCCAGGGCCCGTGTCACGGAGCGGGCAGGGATGGCACCGGGAGGCTGGCAGCAGACAGGGGCACACAGAGGGGCTGTTCCCTGGGGCCCGCGGCTGCAGCGGGGCAGCCGTGTCCTGCTGCCGGCACGTCTTGCATCAGCAAA